GATCAGGAACAGTCAGCATGGATTCACCAAGGGAAGGTCGTGCCTGACTAATCTAATCGCCTTCTATGATGAGATTACTGGTTCTGTGGATGAAGGGAAAGCAGTGGATGTATTGTATCTTGACTTTAGCAAAGCTTTTGACACGGTCTCCCACAGTATTCTTGTCAGCAAGTTAAAGAAGTATGGGCTGGATGAATGCACTATAAGGTGGGTAGAAAGTTGGATAGATTTTCGGGCTCAACGGGTAGTGATCAATGGCTCCATGTCTAGTTGGCAGCCGGTGTCAAGTGGAGTGCCCCAGGGGTCGGTCCTGGGGCCGGTTTTGTTCAATATCTTCATAAATGATCTGGAGGATGGTGTGAATTGCACTCTCAGCAGATTTGCGGATGATACTAAACTGGGAGGAGTGGTAGATACGCTGGAGGGCAGGGATAGGATACAGAGGGACCTAGACAAATTGGAGGATTGGGCCAAAAGAAATCTGATGAGGTTCAATAAGGATAAGTGCAGGGTCCTGCACTTAGGACAGAAGAACCCAATGCACAGCTACAGACTAGGGACCGAATGGCTAGGCAGCAGTTCTGCGGAGAAGGACCTAGGGGTGACAGTGGACGAGAAGCTGGATATGAGTCAGCAGCGTGCCCTTGTTGCCAAGAAGGCCAATGGCATTTTGGGATGTATAAGTAGGGGCACAGCGAGCAGATCGAGGGACGTGATCGTCCCCCTCTATTCGACATTGGTGAGGCCTCATCTGGAGTACTGTGTCCAGTTTTGGGCCCCACACTACAAGAAGGATGTGGATAAATTGGAGAGTCCAGCGAAGGGCAACAAAAATGATTAGGGGTCTGGAACACATGACTATGAGGAGAGGCTGAGGGAACTGGGATTGTTTAGTCTGTGGAAGAGAAGAATGAGGGGGGATTTGATAGCTGCTTTCAACTACCTGAGAGGTGGTTCCAGAGAGGATGGTTCTAGACTATTCTCAGTGGTGGAAGAGGACAAGACAAGGAGTAATGGTCTCAAGTTGCAGTGGCGGAGGTTTAGGTTGGATATTAGGAAAAACTTTTTCACTAGGAGGGTGGTGAAACGCTGGAATGTGTTGCCTAGGGAGGTGGTGGAATCTCCTTCCTTAGAAGTTTTTAAGGTCAGGCTTGACAAAGCCCTGGCTGGGATGATTTAATTGGGGATGGGTCCTGCTTTTGAGCAGGGGGTTGGACTAGATGACCTCCTGAGGTCCCTTCCAACCCTGATATTCTATGATTCTATGATCTTACAATGCTGACACTCAGCTTACTCCTCCAACCTTGTAGTTCTGTCTCTATCGTCAGGTAGACCCATGTCTTCCAGGTACACATGAAACTTTCACTGACAAACGCCCATCTATTCTCACTATGAGGAGACTATTCTTCTCTGTCTGCACCCAGACTCAATCAGTCCTCTCATTTCCTGTCCAGCCACTTCAGCAGTTACCTGGGAGGCTGAAGTGTGCCCCCTACTGAGGGAACATCTCAAGCTGCCTTCCGTGACTGGACAAGCCTTCGGTATATCAGCCAGTTGGCCACACCAGAAACACAAAACTGGATTCTTCTGAGTGCTGCTACCTCCTCCAGTTTCTTAAGTACAGAATTGTCTACGAATTTCTCTCTCCATGCATCTCCCATGCCATCCTAGAGTCAGGGTTCTCTCACATGGCTTCTATCAGAACAGTCCCTTTGAGCTATGCCTTTTTTCAGATGGTTCAGCATTATCACCTACCACATAGGTCTCTGGACTCACCATGGCCTCATTAGCAGAAGTTGGCCGAAACTTTTGGAGTCAACTATGGGCCCCCGCAGACAAGATCCTTAGGAACTCTTCTACAAGTACAGGGTCCATCACTTTGTCTAATGAGTTTGTATCAGGATGCAACTAATGTGTTGCATAAATATGCTGCCACTCTAAGGTGCACCCTCAGGGGAGAGGCTCTGTCCTAAACATGTTGTGGTACACTTCTGGGCCCAGACCCAGTTTATCCAGAATATCTTTTACTATTTTGTATGACTGTACCTGCTGTCAAACAAAGCTTAGTAGGCCGCCTGAGCTTCTCCTGAGAAGAATGGGGCTACCAAAGAGGGGCTATCTGCTGCAGTCGCTACCCTCTCAAATGTGTGCAAAAATCCCTCCAGGTCAACATCTGGGCCCAACTTTGCCAGGCCTAGTACCAGTCTGGCAGAATTCTCTTCTCCCCAAACCATTCATGTCCCGGGGTCTGCTTTTCTAGGCATTGCAGGAAATGTTCTTGCTGAGCCTGACCAGCCTCTTGCTGTTGTTGCTGCCCTTATAGTAGGTACAACAAAAGAGCATGCATCTGCTCCTATTGGGTCGCCAGCATGCGGACTATATACTCCATTGTCCCAAAAGAGAAAAAGAAAAAGACTCTTCGTCTGTTCCTCTACACTTTGCCTTAAAACGAAGTTGGTATCTCCTGCTTTTTTCAGACAGTGGGGTTCCAAATCCTTCTTCTGGAATCTCATATAAACATGTGTCCTCACCTCTAGAGCACCCCCTCGCGTCCGGACATGGCATTGCAGGGAACTTTAGCTCTTGTACCCCCTCTCTGCTGGCTACTTGCTTGTCCATGATGAGCACTTCTGACACCCCCTTAGGGTATTCTGTGGCTTGACTCTCTGGCTAAGTCAGGTAAAAATCTAGACCCCTTCTGGGGTAGTATAAAAAAGTCCGAATAAAGATTCAAACAAGACCTCAAATTAATAACCCTTCCACGCCCTCAGGCTTCACTATAGTTTCCTGGTAGTATCCTGCCTGTTAAGCCCTAGTCCAAGGCTTCTGTCAGAGATACCTGTCTCCTGTGTTACCTGTAACCTCTGCGCTTGGGCGGCCACCCAGGAGAGATTTAAATGCTGCCCAGGTGATTAGCAGAGCGCACACAGCCGGCAGCATGTATTCAGGTGCTCCTCTTCCCACGTTGCTGTCCTGCAGCTGCTCCTGGGACCCTCCTGCTGGCTGTGCAAAGTGGGGAGTGGGTGTGGGTGTGTGTGCTGATGTCAGGTGTCCTCCCCCCAAACCTCTGTATCCCATCTCCGCAGAGTGGGGGCTGGGACACGGCCTGGTTCAGGACTCAGAGCTGCTGTGGTGAACGGTGAGTGACTGAGTGCCTTTCTTAAAGAGACAGTGCTGAGATGTCTCCAGCAGTGAGCTCACACAGTGTGCGTGCGTGCGTCTCTCTCTCACACACACACACCCTCCTCCCCCCACTCCTGCCCCATGCCCATGCATCCCATCTCTGCAGAGCAGGGGAGGGAAGACAACAGGGCTCAGGACAGAGCAGGAGAGCCTTCAGCGAGTGTCTTAAAGAGACAGCACACAGCATCTCTCAGAAACTTCCCCAGCAGCCAGCACACACACACACACACACACACACAGTCTATATCTCACTCACCTCCCAACACACACTTATATTATTGTTGTTGTTACTTCTTGGTACTTCTGGCAGTGCACATATATTCTCTGTAATTTTATTCTTTCAAAGTGTGTTATTTTAGTGTTTTGACTGGTCTATGCACAATTTTTATTTCTCTTACACTTAGATTTAATTCTTTGGCTAGTGAGTTCTAAAATGCTTAACCTGTCCTGGCTGGAGTAATTATCCCTATGGTAACTTTTAAAAAAATATATATTATATCTAGGTTTTTTGTTTCTACTGGTGGCGCACATCTGCACATACCTCAGTGCACACAAAAAAATTCATTCTGCACTTGGATGAAAAAAATTAGAGGGAACATTGCCTGTCTCCTCTTCAGTCTCTCCACAACTGAGCTCCCTCAGTCTACTAATACAACTTAGCTCAACCTCCTCTATCCGGGAGGCAATTAGTCACCCTCCAGGTTAATGTAAACAGGCTCTAACTCTAGGAAAATGAAGGTAGTTAACTCCTCAATGCATGCTCAAGTTCTTGACTAAGATTGCCAATGTGGGTGCCACTTCCAATGATGGATTTTGAGACAACCAAATTGGTTTCCCCATAAAACTACTAAACTTGACATCAATCAGCTATAATTTTGGCCATTCACCACTTGAGCTGAATTGGATATAGTAACCTCGAAGAAAAAGACTGTTGCCTCATTAACAACCCCAAATCATCCAGCCTCATGTCCTCTCTCCCCCCACAGTTCATAAGAAGTCAGTAGGTGGACTAGAAGAGAGGTCCTCACATTTCAAAAGGAGGTAATAACCCTCTACTAATGTAAGCCAGCAAAGACTTCAGGATAATCGTATGTGTATTACACAATGTTTATGCAAAGAGCACACATCTTAAAACTAATAGAAAATGTAAAGATGACTATGCAAATTATATTTTTTAAACTAAAACATGAAGTTTTTTTTTATTGCAGAATCTAATCTATTGCTGCAAACCCCCTCTGCTTTTGTTCGTTATTCAGCCAAACATTCAACTGATGACATTTTCAAGTAGACCACAATGGGTGTTACCATCTCTTTCCTGTCCTCTCTGTAGTGGTCTCATAAAACTACAGGGCTGCTTTTAAAGTGACTCCCCATCCTCACTCCACCTTTTTGATTGAGTGACCAATCTATATGCGATTTTATTTGGTCAAGGATTAAGTCTGGAGTAATATGTTACCCACAAAAGAACCAATCAATCTAAAGAAGCCTGGATATCAAGGGGTCACGTGAGTAACACTACATGAAGTTCTAAGTTTAAGCCCCAATCTTGCAAAGACTTACACACATGCTTAAGTCAATAGTTCATGAAGTTAAGTATGTGTGTGTATTTGCAGTACTGGGGCTTTACATAAATGGTATCTCTGCTTTTCTAGACTGGGCTTGTATTATTAGTTATACAAAAGTTAGTGTGTACAGATCAGTTTAAATTTAAGTAGAGTAGCCCAGTTATAAACATACGATGCATGTGGAATCTACAAATTAGCGGCTGCAAATAAAATAATCTAAAAAGCATAATTGTTAGAACTCACTGCACTCACCTTTGTATCTGTTATATAGCTGTTCTAACTTCTTTCTGTCCAATGATCCTTTAACGCTCTCTCGTATATAAAGTTCAGGATTTTGGAAAAAATTGTCTGTTGCAACATCTAACTTCCAGTCATTTTGAGATAGACAACTCACTGCAGTCTTTTCACTAGATTGAGTGAAGATCATAAACTGACGAACTTTATCTTTCTGTGACGATTTCAACTTGTTCTAGGAAAGTTAGAAAAAAGACAATACTGAGACGAACACTGGTTACTGGAAAAAAATACAAGTACCTCCAAATTCCATTACAACCTTCACAATATATTAAACTCTCCCTAACAAAAATTAAAACAGTCAGACTGCAACTTATGCTCTTTATACTTAATATATACCTTGTTTTTCTTACAATCGGTTATATGAAAAGATGCTTTTTTTTAAAAAAAAAATTACACGTGGACATATTTTTTAGGCAAATTATAATATATACAACTGGACAGGTATAAATAGATACTTTCCTATAAAACATTGTGGCTGCTTTCCTACGAGTGCACATCAACAACACTGTGTGCCCGTAATCTTTACTTGAAGAAGTTAGCAGTGTCCTCAGTATTCTCAACCCCTTCTGGCTGCACAATGGAAGGGTACCTCGTACTCCATGTATTCCATGTAATGGCAAAACTATCACGTATTCCATGTAATGGCAAAACTATCAACTAAATCATCACACAAACCATCCAGAAAATGTTAACATTTACAATATCATCTCGATATGCAATAAGCTGTAGTGATGATGGCATAACACGTGCACATGCAGTTCCTATTTAAAAGGCTGATCTTTTAAAACCTATCTTGCCTAGAAGATATCAAGTTCTCTGCTTAAAACAAGAGCAATTTTGAATGTTATGTGCGCCAAAGAAAGGTAACTGAAATGCATAAAATTTAAAGTCTGCTGTAATTTGGGAAACTCATATTCCTCACGCAAAAAACCCCCCACTAGATGTTGACAGACTAATCTGCAACTTCAATTCAGATAATACTAGCATTTAAAAATAGTGAAAGCTGAAAATTGAAAAATGAAACATCTTCAAACATTTATATAGTGCTTTTTGTTTTCAAAGACCTTAACAATAACTATATAATCCCCACAACAGTTCCATGAAGTAGGTATTGTCTCTATTTTATAGAAGCAGAAACAGACTAAAAAAAACTTAAGCAACTTGCCTAAACCAATACAGCGATACGGTTACAAAACTTACCCAGCAAAAAAAGACCTGCAGCAGTGAATCTCAGAACCCAGGTCAAAATGGAGCTCATGGGGCTTGGGCTAAGGGGCTAAAAATAGCAGTACAGACATTTGGGCATGGGTTGGAGCCTGAATGTCTACACTTCTATTTTTAGCCATGCAACATAAGCCCTGCCAGCTTAAGTTGGCACGGGCTCGGAGACTTGCTGTAGTGGTTTTGTTTTTTGGGTGTTTGGTTTTTTTTACACTGTGTAGACATACCAGGGTCAGTGTGAAAGGTTTAAAAAGGTTTCAGAGTAGCAGCCGTGTTAGTGTGCATCTGCAAAACGAACAGGAGTACTTGTGGCACCTTAGAGACTAACAAATTTATTAGAGAATAAGCTTTCGTGGGCTACAGCCCACTTCATCGGATGCAAAGAATGGAACATATAGTAAAACGATATATACAGACACACACACACAAACACGTACAGAGAAGGTGGAAGTTGCCATACAAACTGTAAGAGGCTAATTAATTAAGATGAGCTATTATGAGCAGAAGAAAAAACACTTTTGTAGTGATAATCAAGATGGCCCATTTAGACAGTTGACAAGAAGGCGTGAGGATACTTAACATAGGGAAACAGATTCAATGTGTGTCTTTTACTGAGAGGCCAAAGAGGTTGAAGTGTTCTCCTGCTGGTTTTTGAATGTTATGGATTCCTGATGTCAGATTTGTGTCCATTTATTCTTTTGCGTAGAGATTGTCCCGTTTGGCTAATGTACATGGCAGAGGGGCATTGCTGGCACAAGATGGCATATATCACATTGGTAGATGTGCAGGTGAACAAGCCCCTGATGGCGTGGCTAATGTGATTAGGTCCTATGATGGTGTCACTTGAATAAACATGTGGACAGAGTTGGCATCGGGCTTTGTTGCAAGGATAGGTTCCTGGGTTAGTGTTTTTGTTGTGTGGTTGCTGGAGAGTATTTGCTTCAGGTTGGGGGGCTGTCTGTAAGCGAAGACTGGTCTGTCTCCCAAGATCTGTGAGAGTGAGGGATCATTTTTCAGGATAGGTTGTAGATCTTTGAGGATGCGCTGGAAAGGTTTTAGTTGGGGGCTGAAGTGACAGCTAGTGGCATTCTGTTATTTTCTTTCTTGGGCCTGTCCTATAGTAGGTAACTTCTGGGTACTCTTCTGGCTCTGTCAATCTGTTTTTTCACTTCAGCAGGTGGGTATTGTAGTTTTAAGAATGCTTGATAGAGATCTTATAGGTGTTTGTCTGAGGGACTGGAGTAAATGCGGTTGTATCTTAGAGCTTGGCTGTAGACAATGGATCGTGTTGTGTGTCCTGGATGGAAGCTGGAGGCATGTAGGTAAGTATAGAGGTCAGCAGGTTTCCAGTATAGGGTGGTGTTTATGTAACCATCGCTTATTAGCACAGTAGTGTCCAGGAAATGGACCACTTGTGTGGATTGGTCTAGGCTGAGGTTGATGGTGAAATGGAAATTATTGAAATCACGGTGGAATTCCTCAAGGGCTTCTTTTCCATGGGTCCAGATGATGAAGATGTCATCAGTGTAGTGCAAGTAGAGTAGGGGCATGAGGGGATGAGAGCTAAAGAAGTGTTGTTCTAAGTCAGCCATAAAAATGTTGGCATACTGTGGGGCCATGTGGGTACCCATAGCAGTGCTGCTGACTTGAAGGTATATATTGTCCCCAAATGTGAAATAGTGGGTGAGGACAAAGTCACAAAGGTCAGCCACCAGGTTTGCTGTGACCTTATCAGAGATACTGTTCCCAATAGCTTGTAGTCCATCTTTGTGTGGAATGTTGGTGTAGAGGGCTTCTACATCCATAGTGGCTAGGATGGTGTTTTCTGGAAGATCACCGATGGATTGTAGTTTCCTCAGGGAGTCAGTGGTGTCTCGACGATAGCTAGGAGTGCTGGTAGCATAGGGCCTGAGGAGGGAGTCTACATAGCCAGACAATCCTGCTGTCAGGGTGCCAATGCTTGAGATGATGTGGTGTCCAGGATTTCCAGGTTTATGGATCTTGGGTAGCAAACAGAATACCCCTGCTTGGGGTTCTAGGCATGTGTCTGCACAGATCTGTTCCTATGCTTTTTCAAGGATTTTCTTGAGCAGATAGTGTAGTTTCTTTTGGTAATCCTCAGTGGGATCAGAGGATAATGGCCTGTAGAATGTGGAGTTAGAGAGCTGCCTAGCAGCCTCTTGTTCATATTCCAACTTATTCATGACTATGACAGCACCTCCTTTGTCAGCTTTAACTTCGGTTTGAACAGAGACTGGGAGTGGCTGGATCATTGCATTTATTTCCCCATATTAAGTATCCTCACACTTTCTTGTCATCTATCTAAATGGGCCATCTTGATCATCACTACAGAAGTTTTTTTTCTCCTGCTGATAATAGCTCATCTTAATTAATTAGCCTCTCACAGTTTGTATGGCAACTTCCACCTTCTCTGTATGTGTTTTTTATCTTCTTACTATATGTTTCATTCTATGCATCCGATGAAGTGGGCTGTAGCCCACAAAAGCTTATGCTCTAATAAATTTGTTGGTCTCTAAGGTGCCACAAGTACTCCTGTTCACTTTTTAAAAGTATTTCGAGAACCTGAGTTTCAAGAGACTTCTTTTAAAATGCTCAAGAGAGAGGCTACGGAACCCTATAGCCTTTCCTGTATTTAACTAGAGACAGATAGAGTACTTGCTACCCCAATTCAGGTTAGCTAACATGCCTCTACCACAACTTGAAGGGAACATTCTAGTAACATGAAGTCAGTTAAACAAAAGTCTATCTGCTATCATTGTTGAAATAAAAAAAAGACAATGAAAAGTGAAACAAATGAATAGACTGAATGTTCTAATAAATTCTATCAGCCTCTGGATAAGGAGAAAAGTACAAACTCAGATCTTTGCAGACCATTCCCTTTGATCAAAAATTTATGTGATGAGCATGATATAAGAACCTAGATAGATGTTTATGCCTAACACTGACCATTCTGAAACAAATCTCTTGTGGACTGTTTGACACCTCTATTCTAGACAATTCACCTATTCGCCCCAATTCTTGACACCCCTATTCACCCCAATTCTTGACACCCCTATTCAAGTTTCATGTGGCGCCAAGAACCCTGTTCTTCAGCTTGCAACTTCCTCTGAAATGAAAGGCAATCTAGCCTAGAGGGAGCCACTAAGGAGGAAACTCATGCCTGACCACACAGATGCCTGTGCAAACTGCCACTGCTTGGGAGGAGCAGGAGGGCACAGGTAACACCACAAAGCCTGGTACAGAGAAGTTCTTTTCTAGCCTCGCCTTCCTTTTCTCTATCCATCTCTCTCAGACCTTAGCATTGGGCTGAGGGACATGGCATCTTCTCCACTTCACTCCCTAGTACCTCCTGCCTCCAAAGAACAGGATGAAGAAGAGGATTTCCTAAAAGAGGGTAGGAAAAGAGAGAAATTCCCCCAGAGGAAAGGGGGAAGAATGAAAAAAAGTCTTATTTATGAATTCTAAGTGAACACATTTTCTTTAAACACAGTATTTAACTTCACTAATGAGACACATTATGCAATTGCACAAGACTGCAAAATTTGCTTATCAGTGAATTTTTGCTCCTGCTCCCAACAAAAAATTAGTTTGACACCCCCGGTCTAGTTGGACAGAGTCTCTGACAGTGGCCAATACTATACTGCTTCAGAGAAAGATATAAAAGCTCCATAATACATTTAATTGGGCAATATTCTCTAATTATGCCTCTTCTCTGGCCCCTTGACATGATCAGCCTCACCAATCCTTATATAACAAAGCTGCTAAGATCAATTTGCCCATTCTGACCATGTCACTGCTCTCCCTTTGAATCCCTCCAACCGCTCTCTACTTTCAACCACATCAAATTCAAACTTCTTATCCTCACTAGGTTTTGACTTCCAAATATGGCCACAGTCTTGAAAGGCTTTGAAGGTGAGGACAATAGGAAGG